CTAGCCAACCACACGTCAACCGCACAGAGGCCACCCACATCTAGCCAACCACACGTCAACCGCACAGAGGCCAGCCACATCTAGCCAACCACACGTCAACCGCACAGAGGCCACCCACATCTAGCCAACCACACGTCAACCGCACAGAGGCCACCCACATCTGGCCAACCACACGTCAACCGCACAGAGGCCACCCACATCTAGCCAACCACACGTCAACCGCACAGAGGCCACCCACATCTAGCCAACCACACGTCAACCGCACAGAGGCCACCCACATCTAGCCAACCACACGTCAACCGCACAGAGGCCACCCACATCTAGCCAACCACACGTCAACCGCACAGAGGCCACCCACATCTGGCCAACCACACGTCAACCGCACAGAGGCCACCCACATCTGGCCAACCACACGTCAACCGCACAGAGGCCACCCACATCTGGCCAACCACACGTCAACCGCACAGAGGCCACCCACATCTAGCCAACCACACGTCAACCGCACAGAGGCCATCCACATCTAGCCAACCACACGTCAACCGCACAGAGGCCACCCACATCTAGCCAACCACACGTCAACCGCACAGAGGCCACCCACATCTAGCCAACCACACGTCAACCGCACAGAGGCCACCCACATCTAGCCAACCACACGTCAACCGCACAGAGGCCACCCACATCTAGCCAACCACGCGTCAACCGCACAGAGGCCACCCACATCTAGCCAACCACACGTCAACCGCACAGAAGCCACCCACATCTAGCCAACCACACGTCAACCGCACAGAGGCCACCCACATCTAGCCAACCACACGTCAACCGCACAGAGGCCACCCACATCTAGCCAACCACACGTCAACCGCACAGAGGCCACCCACATCTAGCCAACCACACGTCAACCGCACAGAGGCCACCCACATCTAGCCAACCACACGTCAACCGCACAGAGGCCACCCACATCTAGCCAACCACACGTCAACCGCACAGAGGCCACCCACATCTAGCCAACCACACGTCAACCGCACAGAGGCCACCCACATCTAGCCAACCACACGTCAACCGCACAGAGGCCACCCACATCTGGCCAACCACACGTCAACCGCACAGAGGCCACCCACATCTGGCCAACCACACGTCAACCGCACAGAGGCCACCCACATCTAGCCAACCACACGTCAACCGCACAGAGGCCACCCACATCTAGCCAACCACACGTCAACCGCACAGAGGCCACCCACATCTAGCCAACCACACGTCAACCGCACAGAGGCCACCCACATCTAGCCAACCACACGTCAACCGCACAGAGGCCACCCACATCTAGCCAACCACACGTCAACCGCACAGAGGCCACCCACATCTAGCCAACCACACGTCAACCGCACAGAGGCCACCCACATCTAGCCAACCACACGTCAACCGCACAGAGGCCACCCACATCTAGCCAACCACACGTCAACCGCACAGAGGCCAGCCACATCTAGCCAACCACACGTCAACCGCACAGAGGCCACCCACATCTAGCCAACCACACGTCAACCGCACAGAGGCCACCCACATCTGGCCAACCACACGTCAACCGCACAGAGGCCACCCACATCTAGCCAACCACACGTCAACCGCACAGAGGCCACCCACATCTAGCCAACCACACGTCAACCGCACAGAGGCCACCCACATCTAGCCAACCACACGTCAACCGCACAGAGGCCACCCACATCTGGCCAACCACACGTCAACCGCACAGAGGCCACCCACATCTGGCCAACCACACGTCAACCGCACAGAGGCCACCCACATCTGGCCAACCACACGTCAACCGCACAGAGGCCACCCACATCTGGCCAACCACACGTCAACCGCACAGAGGCCACCCACATCTAGCCAACCACACGTCAACCGCACAGAGGCCACCCACATCTAGCCAACCACACGTCAACCGCACAGAGGCCACCCACATCTAGCCAACCACACGTCAACCGCACAGAGGCCACCCACATCTAGCCAACCACACGTCAACCGCACAGAGGCCACCCACATCTGGCCAACCACACGTCAACCGCACAGAGGCCACCCACATCTGGCCAACCACACGTCAACCGCACAGAGGCCACCCACATCTAGCCAACCACACGTCAACCGCACAGAGGCCACCCACATCTAGCCAACCACACGTCAACCGCACAGAGGCCACCCACATCTAGCCAACCACACGTCAACCGCACAGAGGCCACCCACATCTAGCCAACCACACGTCAACCGCACAGAGGCCACCCACATCTAGCCAACCACACGTCAACCGCACAGAGGCCACCCACATCTAGCCAACCACACGTCAACCGCACAGAGGCCACCCACATCTAGCCAACCACACGTCAACCGCACAGAGGCCACCCACATCTAGCCAACCACACGTCAACCGCACAGAGGCCACCCACATCTAGCCAACCACACGTCAACCGCACAGAGGCCAGCCACATCTAGCCAACCACACGTCAACCGCACAGAGGCCACCCACATCTAGCCAACCACACGTCAACCGCACAGAGGCCACCCACATCTAGCCAACCACACGTCAACCGCACAGAGGCCACCCACATCTGGCCAACCACACGTCAACCGCACAGAGGCCACCCACATCTAGCCAACCACACAGGGCCACCCACACTTGGCCATCGACTCAGTCGCTCTTGACAAATTTGGTGTTGACGTACATCACGTGACTTTGATAGTTGAACTTCTCCTTGTTATCTAGATGTATACAGCAGGTCTCATAATTGTACTCTTTGAACCCCAGACGTCTGATGTGTCTCATCAGCTATGAGAGAGAATGTGGCCAGACGTTAGTTACAAGATACAATCTGGGACAAAATTAGCCATTTTTAAACACAGTTTTTTTTGTAGCAATCAATAAAGACTAAAGACATTAACACTGTAATTAGTGAACAGGAAAAACTCGCATCACCCGTGATATATTCATTTTATTTTTTATATTTTTCATTTCATATTTCAACCAGCCGATATCGGCTAGGCTTTACTCCAGATATTTATAGCCAAGTCTAAATATAAATGTTAAAGCAGATATGCATGTTTGTTTAAAAAAAAAATTAAGAAAAATTAAAGATCATTGCAAAAAGCTGTGTTCAAAACAATAACAATCTAATTTTTTCGTGTTTCTTAACCTAAGCATCACCGCTTTCTCAGTTACACAGTTTGTTGCACAAATATGTTTTAAAAACAGTAAGCGTCGGTGTCACACCTTTATACATACAAGCAGGTGTTAGATATTAATTTAAAAAGAAGAAACCTTCACGAAATAAAAAAAAAACCGAATTCATTTTTTTATACGTTTATTTATATCTAAATTAACGTATAAACGAAACTCTAAATCTAATCATAAACAAAACCTGAAACTCTCACTAAGCTCTAAACTGTAAACTGTAAACCTTAAACTGGTTTGAATAAAATCAAAAGCCCGGTCATAAGATAGCTATTAGCATACGACCTCCCCTCTCGTACACATAACTGTCATACATTCCTTCCATTTCTCCCTTCCCTTGTCCTACAATTAAAATACTAAAAAAGGAAACATATAAAAGTAAATAGCTTTGGAAAATGACATGTCTGCACTAACTAGTAAACGTGACCTTTCAGTACTGCCCAGTGAGCCCACTAAGCCCCTCTAAAGCCCCTTCACCCCATAAACGTTTTTTTTAGACAAAAGCCCTGCCCAATTCCCCATTTATGACGACCAAGCGAGAAAGGGGAAGGCTGGAGGGGGGGGGTTGAGTTTTGTTGTCTCTTGTTGTGTGTGAGGTTGTCTTCATGTTAACTTTCCCACACCAAATACAACGCCATTTAAGTCCTCGACAGAATGACTAAATTACTACACACAAAAACCGACATTTCGCGATATATTGCTTTAATAACTCAATTGTATTGAGACCTGGTAATGTAAGACAGTTATAACTAGAGGCCCTAAACTAATGAAGTAAAAATGTACCTTGTAATACAAGACATAATCCTCCTTAGCAGGTCTAGACGGAAACAAGTGGTACTCGATAAACAAATGCCGTACGTACTTTAACATGTCCGTCTCTATGATGTTATCTAAGACTTGCCACTCGTAGGATTCAATGTCAAATTTCAAGACGTCTATCACACGCTGGGGAAGGGAATTATAATTTGGTCCTTTAAATGCCATAGAAAATTTGTTTTAGAGTGTATGAAGTATAATTTGGTTTACTACTGTACTATGACTTTTTAAAAATCTACCCAGTCAGCTTAACTGAATATTACATACGTGTATAACGTATAAAAATCTTTCTTTCGAGCCAAAAAAGTTTTCCAGTACATGGGAAGTGCTTATATCCGCCAACTATAGAGAAAATTGGCAATGTGCTTAGATCCTCTCACATCCGGTCGCTATATTTAACTTTTATTTACAGGAATTAATAGTGTTATAATTTTTAAGAGAAATTTATTTAATTTAATATACTGTTTTTTTTTTACAATGAATCAATGCTGTGGCAGAATCGATTTTATGGCGGCTATCAAGTATCATTTTCAAGATCAAAACCCGGCTTGATATGTTTTTTTTTTGTTATTTAGCATTTTTTGTTATAACGCATTAGATCTTACTTAGGGTTTAGTGTTTAATGTTTAGGGGTTAGGGTTAAGGTTAGGGTTAGGGTTAAGGTTGAGGTTAAGTTTTGGGTTAGGTTTAGGGTTGGGGCTGGGGCTGGGGGTTACGGTTGGAGTTAGACTTAAAGTTAGGGTTGGGGACTAAGGACAGTCAAGAAAATAAGATATTTTTCCACAGACAATTTCGTCATACTGTATGGAAAATTCATGTACACTTATATGCTCTCACAGTGTTTATTTCCTCTGAACCGTAAGAATATAAATGAAACCGTAACGGGAAGTGAGAGAATGTAAACACGTTCTTATTGCCTCATCGTTCGCCGATATAAGCACTTCGCAGTCCATATATATCTTACGTTCTCTAGCCCCAGGTGTTTTGTGAAACCCTTCAGAGTTCGAATCTGCCAGGTCTGAGCATCACGAACATAAGCATCCCTGTTGGGGGTGAACCCGTTGGTGTTGACGGTCCCCAGCCCCATGTTGTAGAAGGTCACTTGCGGGCTTCGTACGTGGGTCTCTTTTTTCATGCTGGTGGTTAGAGATGCAGAGAATACATCTGTAAGTTGTGTAGGGTTCGTGTAAACTTTACTTTTGGTAAAATATGCAGGGAACACCTCTTTGATTAAATGTTTTTACACTTGAATATGTCTTTACTTTTATTTCATTCTTTAAATAAAATGTCGTTCTCAAGTTTATTATAACCATATTTTTTTTCTCAACGAAATCTTGGTATCTTTAAATTCTACACATATTTCTGAAGATACTAATCTCAAAGCCGCAAAACAAAATTTGCCAGACAATCAGAAGTAGAGGGAGAAGAGGGTACCTGGGCTTCTTTATATTAGAACACCGATTGAATGAGGAGGGGGTGTTAAACTTCGACTTTTGTGGACGTGCCTAGACTGGAAAGGGGGGGGGGGTCCACATGTTGAATTTAACATCGTCATGCTAACAATTTAAAAGAAGCATAAAACTCGTATCATTGCATGCAATATTTGACATTAAGACAGCAGTGTTCCTGTTTAAACAATAACCAATGGCCACGTGTGTAAATAAAGCACTGGATTTATGCCTACGTCATGAATTTTACTATATTTATCTCCCCTCCATCCCTACCAAATCTGTTAATATACGGGATTTATTCAGGAAGACGGTAGTGGTCGTAAATGCCTTAATCTGAGACTATTTTAGAACACTCTTTTCCTTTCTCAACATTAGTGGTGTTTAAAAATCAAAGACTTTCAGTGCCTCCGGCTTTTTTGCCTCCTTATAACAATCGTTAAACAAATACCAGTGTTGTCAACGAAAGTCCCACCATTAGATCAGATATGATACTCATTTTGACGCGCATTAAGGTGCTTAAAAAGACATTGTTGCTTGAAAATAACAGCCTTTGTGGGTCTGCTGACTGACTGCGGTGTACATAGCTGGGGTTACTGTCAGATTTAGATGTACATTTCTGGAGTCACCGATCAGATTAAGATCTTCATACCTGGAGTTACCTGTCATATTCAGGTGTACATACTTGGTGTCACCTGTAAGGTGAACATACCGCGGGTCACCTTTAAGGTGTACATATCTGAGGTCACTTTAAGGTGTACATACCTGATGTCACCTGTATAGTGTACATACCTGGGGTCACCTGTACAGTGTACATACCTGAGGTAACCTGTATAGTGTACATACCTGGTGTCACATGTAAGGTGTACATATCTGGGGTCTCCAGTCAGATTGGGGCTACTTACGTGGGTCACCTGTAAGGTGTACATACCTGATGTCACCTGTAAAGTGTACATACCTGGGGTTAAGTGTAAGGTGTACATACCTGAGGTAATCTGTAAGCTTTACATACCTGTGGTCACCTGTAAGGTGTACATACTTGAGGTCACCTGTAAGGTGTACATACTTGAGGTCACCTGTAAGGTGTACACACCTGGGGTCACCTGTAAGGTGTACATACTTGAGGTCACCTGTAAGGTGTACATACCTGGGATCAAATGAGCTGACGTTACAGCCAAGTGCGCCCAGAGCGTCATCAAAGCTGAAGTCGTTATCGATCCTATAAAACAGTAAATGATTAAGTATTAGAATAAGAACAATAACAACGGAAAATATAAGAACATTAGCCGTCCCGACCAGGCCCTGCACTGGCCTTTGTGAAAAACGTATCTGTAAAGGAACATGCCATGTTTGTTTAGTAATCAGCATAAACCCGACATTGCCTACCCTAACCACGACCAACCAAAACTAAAACACATAATACACAAATACAAACACAAACGAAAACACAAACGCAAACACAAACACAAAGAAAACACAAACGCAAACGAAAAAGCACCTAGCATGTAATGTTAACACCTACCCAAAAGAAAACACAATACAAGGGGCTTTAACCACGTATGGCTCATCCTGACAAACTGGCCAGTTCCCAATCTTGGCCAGATTTTTACATTGGTATCTCGGTGGTGGGTTCATGTACCTGAAACAGAACGTAACGTATATTGTAATTTTTATGTGAACTGGTAAAATACTATTGTCAAAAAATGAAAAAAAAATCTTCTAACCGTGTGTGTAATTATTTTACAGTATGAAGCTATACAGACCCCTGTGAAATCTCTGCCAGCACCCTTTCCAAAACCCTGCCAGCGCCCCTTCCAAAACCCTGACAGAACCCCTGCCGCCATCCTGTCAGCTCTCTTACCTTAACAAGAGAATAAAACCGCAACTTACGAGGCCATCATGGCCGCCGCCTCCCACCATGTTTTGATTGTTGTGACGTCAGCAGGGTCAGCGGTCAGCGGGGCGTTGCCACCAAATCGAGCGTTAAAATCCTTGAGGTACGCTACAAGTGGATAATGTTTCCGTGTATATCTATTTACATCAATATTGATAAAAAGTTACTCTTTAATAAGCACCCAACTAAGACACAAATTACACATGAATTCAACTAATTAAAATCACCCCCCCCCGCCTAGTGACGCCACTGGGGTAGACACCTGTTGACCTACCTAGAGCTGCACTGTCGTCCACGTCATCAAGCTGCACGACACCTGGGGCTCTGTACGTTTTTATTTCGTTAATTTTCATCTGGAAATCGTTCAACGTTTTCAACGACGTTTCCTTCAACGATTCCATCAGCTGTTTGGAGTCTCCGCTCTTTATAGTGCTGCACTCTTTGACGTACGTCAGCAGGGAATCGGACATGTTTTTCATTTTTGCGATGGACTCTTCCAGATTCTGTGATGTCTGAATCTCCTCTACGAGCAGCTGGTTCGATGACGCCCTGAACAGAACACCCAAGCCCACACACACCACGACCACAGTGATGAAGAACAGACCTCTACGTCCGATATATTTAGGTCTGTAATCATTGCTTTGTGAATAAAAAAGTTAAGAAATGCGCTTACAAGTTTAAAAAGAAATAATTATTTAATTGTATTTTTTATATAGATACAGAAAGGTTAAGTTATTTTTAAATTGTGTTACCTGTATTTTTATAACCATTAAATTAAATTTAATTTAATCTAGTTTTTTGTTGAAAAAATAATATATATCAAAGCTTGAAAATTACAAATTTTGATAATTTTGTTTCCATACTAATATGATTTACCCATTTTTTTTTACCTATTTAAATATGAAATGTTTTTTTTCCTAATAATACAAAAGCTATCTTTAAATCCAACCATATTTTTTAACACGTTTTTCTTAACTCAGCTTCGCGTTTGTTTGTTTGTTTGGATGTTTGTTGTTAAAATTGACATCGAAAATTAGCCCACTTCTGATTGCTCTAGAGATCTGAAATTTGGCATGTAGGCTACTTTCGCCTAACAATTTCAGATGCAATCATAAAAACTAGCAATTAGAGACCGTAATTAGCTTAATTTAATTACGCCCCAAGGACCATAAAATTGAGGACATGATTTCTAAAGATACCGACGAGACTGGAGGCCTATTGACACAGTTACTTCGGCCCCAATCGATGTGAGCGCGTTGGCCGTGATCGTATAGCGGTTAGTACTTCGCGTTGTGGCCGCGACAACCCAGGTTCGAATCCTGGTCGCTCAAGATTTTTAGTCCGTGTATTTATAAACACTTAGTCAAGTCATACTTAATCAAGTCATTAGATAAAGTAGAAAATAAACTATATAAAAAACTTTTTTAAAAACCACGTTTTTCATGTGTAGCAACGGACTAAAAAGGAGAAAATAAAATACTTTAAAAAAAACTTTAAAAAAAAACACGTTTTTCTTGTGGACTAAAAAGTAGAAAATAAATTTTCATACATTTGATGACAAAAAACGTGGGTCGGGCAGATGGGTCGGGAAATTTGATGGTGAACGTACCCACGTTTTTTGTCATCAAATGTATGAAAATTTATTTTTGATTAATTATTTTAATTTAAAAAAAATAACAAGTTTTCAAAATCAAATCGTGAAACGATACATCTTATTTTCCAAGGTACAGTAAGTTTCTGCTCGCCGTGATATTATCTCGCGTCAAGAGAACCTTGAAGCCACACTGATTATTAAAATTTAAGGACTAAATTTTATCGATTTTCGATGTGGGGCGTTTTGGGTAGGAAAGTGTTGCCTGCTAAAGTAATCAATTAAGCTAGAAACACTGTTATTTTGCCTTTTTTAGCTTATGAAAGACGATTTTTAACACTTTTTGATGTTTCTTTGTTTATATTACTATGAATACCAGATTGCAAAGACTGTAAGGGGGGACGCACCTTCCTTGTCGGAAAAAATAAAAATTGTATCAAGTGTTTAAAATTTGTTTTTGCAAAAGGCTTTGTATTCTAGCTTAAAAAGGAGAAGTTATATAATTGCCGTTTTGTGCCTCTTCTGTTTACTTATACCTAAAGTTTTCAGAGTATGATGTGACGATATGTTTCAGTAAAAAATAGGTGTGCTCGTATTTCTACTTAGCGGTTGTTGTTTTGTTTAAAAATTTTTCTTTATTGCAATATGTTGGTATAATTCTAAAGGTAATTAGCTCATAATCAGAGTTTCTTCCAGGCATCTCTTCTGTCCTCCCCCCCCCCCAGAAGAAAGTCTACCGCCCCCCCCCCCCCCGAAAATTTCAAGTGCCCCCCCCCCCCCCCCCCACGGAGAAAAAATTCTGGAAGAAACACTGCTCATAATTTAATGAAAGCTTTGTAGAAGAAGGGTCACCTATTTCTGACACCCTTTAAAGCGACATGTTTATCCCCTCACTCCTTTGATTTGTCTAATTATTTTTTTAAAATAACATGTTTCAAAAATAAAGTTGGCTTATAAATAAATTAATTAACCCATGATAAGATAAAGCCTGATCCTTTTATTTTTAACACCACTGGCTATAAGAATAACAAACGTACCTTTTCATGTCAACGCTGATGGCAGGTGAAAGGTCAATATAGCGACAATCGTGTAAAAATTACCTGCAAGAAGTCAAAAGTTGATAGAAAATGACAAAGTCGATAAAATACTTGTATATGATATTTGGTCAACCTGCCTGAAGCGATATTTAAGTCAACGAGTTTTACCTACACACAGACAGACAGACATGATAAGAAAAATTAGATTTTCCTTCTCTGAAGAATTATAAAACGAAATCTATATAGATATTTGCACGATAATATTGCATCCTTTATATTCCATACGCGCTAAAATATGGAGATATAAAACGGTGAAAATTTTCAAAATAGCTGTCAATTATTCAGCATTATGTTACAATATTTCCTCATACTCTGTATTCGAGAAAGTAAAAGTTAGATATTCAGAAAAACCCGGACAATTCCGGATATATGCTGCTAGTGTAATAATAAACTTTATTGTAGAATCCTATCAACTGCGTAAAAAATAACCGGCAAACCTTATGGGAAGAGCAGTGGAGACAGGTATAATTATGTTAATTAATGAGCGGAAAAGTGTTTGTATAACGTGTGTTGAACAATGTTTGACAGTTCAATTAAAACAAGTGGAGAAAATGGATGTTTAAAATACACACTTCTTAGGCTAGTAAATAAAAACAACATAAGTTAGAAGAAAGAAAAACATTACTCGAACTATGGAAAGTATTTAAACAAAGCGGAGTCAATTTGGCTTTCATTTATATTACATAATGAGGTGCGTGATAAGTTATGTTTCTTGAAACAAAATAATTAACAATCATCATATAACAAAATAATTTTTAAAAATATTAAAAAATATTTTGTAAAAATAGGAAAAATAATTAATATGACTAAAACAGAGATGAAATCGTAAGTTACAAAACATACTCTATTCTCCCAAGTAATTTAACTTAACATAGATGCTGTTAATAATCTCTTTCCATTCCAAGTTTTGTGTGGTTATAAAATGACAAACACATTACACTACAAAGGTAAGGAAACGCAGGCTGGCCTGTTTACCTTTGGGAGCCGCCAAGTTCTCGTGTTCGACAATATCCGAGTGCGTGGACTCATCAGCGCGTGACCACACTCGTCTGTCTAATGTGAGACCCGGGGCACCAAGTCAGAATCTACTATCATTATGTTGTTCATACTTATAAGGGTCTGGGTGTGTGCGGGGAGGGAGGGAGCGGGGTGTGCGAGCGAGAGAGACATCGAGACAGAGATAGCGATTTATTGCGATTGAACTATATCCAACAATACATTTTGTCTGTAAGTTCTATCAGATGGATATTTAAATTTTTTACAATTTTTAGCTCATGTCAAGGTGAGTTCGGCTGTCTGTGGTGAGTTTAGGCACTGTGTAAGGCCGCAGGTTTCCTATGGCACCGTGTAAGGTCGCAGGTTTCCTCTCAATTCTCTCAAATTTTACGAGCTACTTATCAAAATAGACAGATACTCTATCTTCAAAACCATCTCGCCATGCCCAAATTCAACACAGTTTACAATGTGTTGTTGTATTGCTTCAGTTCACACTGTGTTGTATTGTTACAGTTTACTGTGTTGTTACAATTCACAATGTGTTGTTATGTTGTTACAGTTTACACTGTATTGTTGTGTTGTTACAGTTTACTGTGTTGTTACAGTTCATAATGTGTTATGTTGTTACAGTTTACATTGTATTGTTGTGTTGTTACAGTTTACTGTGTTGTTACAGTTCACAATGTGTTGTTATGTTGTTACAGTTTACACTGTGTTGTTGTTTTCTTACATTTTACACTGTGGTGTTACAGTTTACACTAATTACTAAGTGAGCAATCGTTGGTATATAATTTTTTTTTCATCTCCAATTTTTAACTGTATTGTTGAATGTAGTAAACTTTTTATATTTAGTGTCTAATATTAGATAGTTGCATTGAAAAAAACGGGCAACGCCTTGTATAATCATGCTGCTTAATAAACACACGTCACGGTCCTTTACAAATAATTTTTTCCACAAATGCTAGTGCAGGGCCTGGCCGGAATAGCTAGTTATTTATAAAACGTACATTGCTTGAGCAGATTAAAACGATACCTCAATATTACTAATGTTAGCATTCATACAAGAGTAAATTAATCTGCATTGTAGCACCTGCATAAACAAAATTAATTGCTGTAGTTACCTGTCATGTTTTCACCTGTGTGGGCTTAAAACTGTCAAAAGCGTTCAGTTCACGCATTTACCTCTCATGTTAGGGGGTTAAAAAAAAATAAAGCAACACATTTGGGAGTAAACAACAATAGAATTTTTTTAACAATCGTAATTGGAAATATCCAACAATAAAGACATTATAATAATAGATATGAAATTTTTTAAATAACTTGACAGATGCAAAACAGAGTATTTAAGTTATCAGAATATCTCACACAAAATTTTATATAGGAACCAACAAAAAATTAACACCCTCAATTGCATTTATGCATATATATATAATATATATATATATATATATATATATATATATATATATATATATATATATATATATATATATATATGTATATATATATATATATATATATATATATATATGCTATCTTAACCATAAATAGTTGTACAAGCTGCAGAATTATAGAAAATATGAATATAAAATTTGAACCAATGCATTGACTGAACAAAAAAAAAGCTTTTGATCAATCAAACTCGGGGCATATTGTTCGTGTCAGGATTTACTGCTGTAAAATAGTTTCCATTCAAATTTGAGAATCACAGATTTTGGTTTGATATCCAGCGTACACAGTAGCTATCCCTGTCAAACACTTTAGCTAGCCCCATCAGCGAATGTTTCCCACAAATCAGTTTTAGAAGAACGTGAAATAAACGTGTAACTTTTAATAGCTGCGACACGCTTTAATCTTCACTGTGCTGATGTTTTTTAGTTTATTTAATCAAAATCTTCATTTGTTACGTGGTTCAGTGGATAAAAAACACATTAAAACACCATTGTTTTAAAAGAATGAGTCCATGAAATAGAAATCTCAGCAGTAAAAGGCTCACGTCTATGTTTAGTTATCGACATTGCATCGACAAATTCACATCAATCTCAACCATAGTGTAGCCATCCCGATCTAGGACAACCATCTGATAGTTTTCACAACTGGCCAACCACAATGTTGTCATCCACACCATGTCAACCACAAAAACGCCATCCATAACAAGCCAACCACACCAATGTCAACCATAGAGAGGCCATTAATACTTAGATAACCACACAAAGGCCATCAACATAGGGCCAATCACAAACTTGCTATTTACACCAAGTCACCCAAACCGAGGCCATCCACATCTGGCCAACCACACAGAAGCTATAAGCATTTAGACAACCACACAAGGGCCATCAATAACTGGCCAACCACACGACAACCACACAGAAGCTATAAGCATTTAGCCAACCACACAAGGGACATCAACAACTGGCCAACCACTCGACAACCACACAGAAGCTATAACTATTTAGCCAACCACACAAGGGCCATCAATAACTGGCCAACCACACCACACAGAGGCCATCCACGCCTAGCAAACCACACAGGGCCACCCACACTTGGCCATCGACTCAGTCACTCTTGACAAATTTGGTGTTGACGTACATCACGTGACTTTGATAGTTGAACTTCTCCTTGTTATCTAGATGTATACAGCAGGTCTCATAATTGTACTCTTTGAACCCCAGACGTCTGATGTGTCTCATCAGCTGGTGGGAGAGTTAAGGGTCGGACGTTAGTTACAAATCAAAGGGAGATCAGAAATAGCAAGTTTTAATTCAATGTGTTTTAAAGCAACTTAAATTATAGAGGAATAAACAGCAGAATAAGTTGTTTTTTTAAAGCTCAAGATACCACAATTCAAAATGCTTTATATTCGAACATGTGTTTTTCATTTTGTATTATACAATGGGGCTGCATCTTATGTGGTACTTAGCGTTTCAAAACAAATGGCTCCCGACGGTCCTAGATAATCTCTTTTGTGGAATTGCTTCCCTTTGGACTTTAGCACAAATTAATATCCCCTAGTTCTGATGAATGTCTAAAACAATTTAAAAAATGGAAAAAAGTTTTGGTTGTTTGGACTTGATCTAAAATTTCCTCACAAACCTAGGACTCACAGTAGAATATCTGCACATTTGATTGGATCCATGGTATTTGTTTAGCCATTTTTTTATGTTGACGAACTCGCCATGGCTTAACGTTTTCTTTGTCATTGATGGATGAAGATTAATGTTTCTAAGTAAAGCAATTAATTCTTGTCTTACGTCGTGAGAGGTCCCACAATTAAAGACTAAACCTACAACGTAGCCTAAGCATAATATGTGGTTGACTATATATATTACTCTAGTCAACATACATATGATCTTCTTTAGAATGGTTTAACTAAAAAAAAAACAGTAACCAAATTATAATAGATGCAGTCCGTAACAGAATGTTTTAATTGCACATATGTGTTAAATAATTGTTTGACTGCAAAAGATAACTAGTGGCCCTAAACTAATGTAGTACAAATGTACCTTGTAATACATGACATAGTCCTCCTTAGCAGGTCTAGATGGAAACAAGTGGTACTCGATAAACAAATGCCGCACGTACTTTAACATGTCCGTCTCTATGATGTTATCTAAGACTTGCCACTCGTAGGATTCGATGTCGAATTTCAGGACGTCTATCACACGCTGGGGAAGGGAATTATAATTTAGTCCTTTAATTGCTATAGGAAATTGATTCTATTAATGGAGTAGAAATTTGCTTAGTATTGTAATATGGCCTTTTAACTCTACCCAGTCAGATTCACTGAATATTATATTCATGTATTACGTATTAAATATCTTACTTTCTTTTAGGCTAAAAAATGGTTATAAAACTACAGGTAACTAAGTCTTACGTTCTCCAGCCCCAGGTGTTTAGTGAACCCCTTTAGGGTTCGGATCTGCCAGGTTTGAGCATCTTGGACATATCCATCCTTGTTGGGGGTGAACCCGTTGGTGTTGACACTGCCTAGTCCCATGTTGTAGAAGGTCACTTGCGGGCTCCGTACGTGGGTCTCTTTCTTCATACTGTTGGTGAGACATTACGACAAACTTCTTTAACTTGTATTTGGTTCGTGTAAACATTTCAAGTTATTATCAAGACGTAAATGGGGGTGGGGGGGGGGGGCAGTTATGACAGCTCTTTTACATCGCTAAATAAATTGATGAGCATTTTTAATCCAAACCCAAACACCACACCTAACCTTATTTTTAAATTAACCATACCTGGTGTCACCGGTATGGTGTACATACTTGAGGTCACATGTAAGGTGTACATACATGGGGTTACCTGTAAAGTGTACATACCTGAGATCACATGTAAGGTGTACACACATGGGGTTACGTGTAAGGTGTACATACCTGGGGTCACCATTAAGGTGTACATACTTGAGGTCACCTGTAAGGTGTACATTTCTGGGGTTACCTGTAAGGTGTACATACCTGGGGTTACCTGTAAGGTGTACATAACTGAGGTCATCTGTAAGGTGTACATACTTGAGGTCACCTGTAAGGTGTACATACTTGAGGTCACCTGTAAGGTGTACATACCTGGTGTCACATGTAAGGTGTACATACCTGGTGTCACATGTAAGGTGTACATACCTGGGGTTAAGTGTAAGGTGTACATACCTGGGGTTACCTGTAAGGTGTACATACCTGGTGTCACATGTAAGGTGTACATACTTGAGGTCACCTGTAAGGTGTACATACCTGGTGTCACATGTAAGGTGTACATACCTGGTGTCACATGTAAGGTGTACATACCTGGGGTTAAGTGTAAGGTGTACATACCTGGGGTTACCTGTAAGGTGTACATACCTGGTGTCACATGTAAGGTGTACATACCTGGGGTTACCTGTAAGGTGTACATACCTGGGGTTACCTGTAAGGTGTACATACATGGTGTCACCTGTAAGGTGTACATACCTGGGGTTACCTGTAAGGTGTACATACTTGAGGTCACCTGTAAGGTGTACATACCTGGGATCAAATGAACTGACGTTACAGCCAAGTGCGCCTAGAGCGTCATCGAAGCTGAAGTCGTTGTCGATCCTGTAACAGTCAATAGTTAAGTATTAGAATAAGAACGATAGCAATAGAAAATGTAAGAACAGTAACGATAACAAAGGAGAATACAGCATGAACTTTAAATTAGTATTTTCGTAGGTATGGGGATGTATAGTCACAAATACAGCTGTCTTGTGGTAATATACAAATATCACAGATGTTGGCGACGGTATGCTAGCGTACCTTTCAAGGATTTTACTCTGGCGACGGTATGCTAGCGTACCTTTTAAGGATTTTACTCTGGCGACGGTATGCTAGCGTACCTTTCAAGGATTTTACTCTGGCGACGGTATGCTAGCGTACCTTTCAAGGATTTTACTCTGGCGACGGTATGCTAGCGTACCTTTCAAGGATTTTACTCTGGCGACGGTATGCTAGCGTACCTTTCAAGGATTTTACTCTGGCGACGGTATGCTAGCGTACCTTTCAAGGATTTTACTCTGAACTTCAACACGCCGTAAACGTAAAACTAAAATTCTACTTCCTTAAAATCTTTATGATTATTCTATATATAACCGGGACGGTTCATTTGAAATAATGAAATAAACTTATCTGAATACTAGTGATATATGTTTTTAACACATATGTTGTACAGGTTTTAATTACAGTCATTTGACCGGGATGTGTAAGCACATTTTAGTGCAATCTCTGCTTCTCACCACGAAGTTTTATGCTCAGAATAACTTCGTATGGACTTTAAAATATGAAAATGTTAGCACCTGCACCCAACATGTAATGTTAGCACCTGCATCCAACATGTAATGTTAGCACCTACCCAAAAGAAAACACCAGACAAGGGGCTTTAACCACGTAAGGCTCATCCTGACAAACTGGCCAGTTCCCAATCTTGGCCAGATTTTTACACTGGTATCTTGGTGGTGGGTTCATGTACCTGGGACAGAAGTTAAAAGTCATTTAATACGATGTCATAGATCTCAGAACACAATCTCATACATTACAGAACAAGTTGTCATAGATGACAGGACACAATGTCATAGATGACAGGACACAATGTCATAGATGACAGGACACAATGTCATAGATGACAGAACACAATGTCATAGATGACAGGACACAATGTCATAGATAACAGAACAAAGTGTCATAGATGACAGAACACAATGTCATAGATGACAGGACACAATGTCATAGATGACAGGACACAATGTCATAGATGACAGGACACAATGTCATAGATGACAGGACACAATGTCATAGATGACAGGACACAATGTCATAGATGACAGAACACAATGTCATAGATGACAGGACACAATGTCATAGATAACAGAACAAAGTGTCATAGATGACAGAACACAATGTCATAGATGACAGGACACAATGTCATAGATGACAGGACACAATGTCATAGATGACAGAACACAATGTCATAGATGACAGAACACAATGTCATATATGACAGAACACAATGTTATAGATGACAGAACACAATGTCATATATCAAAGAACACAATATCATAGATGACAGAACACAATGTTATAGACGACAGAACACAATGTCATAGATCACAGAACACAATGTCATAGATCTAGGAACACAATGTCATAGATGACAGAACACAATGTCATAGATGACAGAACACAATGTCATAAATTACAGAACACAATGTCATAGACGACAGAACACAATGTCATAGATGACAGAACACAGTGTCATAGATCACAGAACACAATGTCATAGATGACAGAACACAATGTCATAGACGACAGAACACAATGTTATAGATGACAGAACACAATGTCATATAGCACAGAAGAGATTGTTATAACTTCTATACGTAAATTGCATATTGACAACGTGATAGATTCCATTTGATTACACTGATATAGATCATACAATAGAATGTCATATAAAACTGTCATGATAAAATATCTGAATACAATAAATTAAGACCACATAGATAATGGTGTTAATTGCCATAATTTCGAATATGAAACAACACAATGTCTTCGGTGATAAAAAATGAATAATTTACTGTAGTGTTTTAATGACTGAGAAGCAGAAAATCAAACACGTTATACAAAATTAAATATTATTGAAAAACTTCAATTATTTATTTAGACCAGTGTTTCAATTAACTTTGAAATGTTTAATAGGCGCCATAGACTGCTGCCAGGTACCCATTAGTCCTGAGCTGACTCAGGTCGTCCTACAGACTCGAGCAGAGTATATGCATGCTGTAGGGTCACAAGGCGGGGGCAGGGTGGTGGTACGGTCCACTCAGGGTGACGCATCCAAAGGGGGGGGTGACATCAAACAAGGTTAATTTTAATGAGAAACCTGCTTATAGCAGAATTAGTTTAATAACTTGTTAATGTTATACACATCAATAGGGTGACACCATTTGGAATGGTGTTGGTGGGGGTGACACAAGACTCCCCACGATTGAATACATTATATATAGACGTTGAAGTACAGGATAACATCCTGGGGCTGTCGCCCCATATTTCACCCGACCTAGTGACGCCACTGTCAGCATGGTCTCTGTCCCACATATTTCCCTGTACATACTATCAGCTACCTGAACTGTCTGTTTATATAAATAAATAAGGTGCGTTAAATAACTATACAGTACCACTGTTTTTGAATACATTGCTAGACAAAAATAGACAACTTGATGTTTTTATATATACGCAGTTAATAACAACTAACACAACAATATGTTCAACTAGAAAGAGATCTATAAGAAAAAAAAAACAATAGCACGCAAGTACATGGCGCTATACTCATGGATTAAAAACACCCTGACCTTAACTATTTACCAAGACGTGCTTGTGAAAACAACACGGTGTGGTGTTATATTACGGTGTCTATATACGCTGGATATATTACTTTTCCCACAGGACCACAGTTTGGTGGATTCATTTCGTTTTTTTTTCTCTTCAGCTTTTCTAAAGGTCTTGAATTTCCTCCCATAAATCAAGTCTGTCGGGATTAGAGTACTAGAAGATTGAAAGACTTAGGCTATTGTTATATGCGCAGTGGTAACGCGTTTAGGAATTATCATTTTAATGAAGCGGGTGGATGGCATTTCTAGGGCTATAAAAAAATAAACTAATTTTCGTAATATTATTTTTTTGAAATAGAACAGGATCGCTAAGAGAAAAAAAAGGCTTGCACACCAAATGAGACAAAAATGTTTGAGAATAATAGAGTGGAAAATGTGTATATATAAAATAAATATTAATTATCTTTTTCGAGAAATCGGGAATAGGGTAAAATACTACTTTCGGTCACAGGAAATCACTCACAATTTGTCAAAATTCAGTGAATAAAAAATAAAACTATATGAAATTTTGTTCGGCTAACTGATTAAGTTCTTGTGATTTGGTAATTTAGTATTTTTTAGAAAAATGACATTGAGTGAACTAGTCCTTTGTAGGTATTGGATATCATTCAAACTTTGAGAGCAATACAAGTGTAACATCTTACGCTTATGAAATGTTGTCTACTTAACTGCAACAGTACCTAGATTATCTTGTTCCAACAGAAGTAAAGTATCATTTCCGTTCACCGGAAATTGTTATAAAGTTGAAGAAACGTGTATGTGAAATTTTGTCAATCTAAATGTTCCTCAAATTATCGAGTTTCTAGAGACCGGAAGTAATGCATGTATCACTTCCGGTTACCGGAAATCGCTCAACGAGTTTATGTGACTTATGTATACAATTTTGTAACTATAATTGAAACATTACTCAAGTTATCGTGTTCACACACAAACACAGACCCATACATACAAACACACACACATAGACATAATTGCAAAAACTAATTTTTTCCGCACTAGAAGGTTGTAAAACGTCAAAATATGCCAAAATCTCTAATTAGATTTTACGATTACAATACATCCTGTATATTATGTTTAAGTTATGGAGGTGTAAAATGGCGAAAACAGTCATCACTTCATTTAAATTGTGTATACGATTTCAATAATTCCTCTGTACTTTGTATACAAGAAAGTAAAAAACCCTGTCAGCGCCCCTGCCTTAACAAGAGAACAAAACCACAACTTACGAGGCCATCATGGCCGCCGCCTCCCACCATGTTTTGATTGTTGTGACGTCAGCAGGGTTAGCGGTCAGGGGGGCGTTGCCACCGAATCGTGTGTTAAAATCCTTCAGGTACCCTACAGGGAGATAACGTTTCATTGTATCTGTATTTTCCACTAATATTGACTAACTCGTTAGAAAAGAATCAATACACAAATTACACATGAATTTTCCCTACTAAAATCTCCATTGCACATCCTACTAATGCAATGCTTACACGTTAATTAACATGACCAACATATCCTGGTAAATCAGAGGCGTCTGTAGGTCGGATGAAGCCGGGTGCGGTAAACTAGGGTGTGAACCCCCAGTGTTACATCCAGACTTTTTTCTCGGAGGAGGGGGGGGGGGGGTGGAGACTGTTAAAAGTAAATACATTCTATATAAATTCGATTTTGTTCGGGGAGGGGGGGGGGGCTGTAGACTTTCTTCGGGAGGGCTCCACCTGGAAGAAACTCTAACCCCCCCCCCCACGACAATTATGTACTAAAAATCAACTATTTGGCATCCCCATCCCTATTAGTGTAACCCTGTGCCTTCTGAAATTAATAAATGTTTTTACACTGAAAGAGGCAGGTTTGCTTATAAAAATTCGCTACCTTTTTATTTTTGTATCGCCCCTTTACGCCGTGTTTCCCAGTTTGATCTGCACCCCCTCCCTCCCCTAGTGACGCCACTAGGGTAGACACCTGTTGACCTACCTAGAGCTGCACTGTCGTCCACGTCATCAAGCTGCACGACACCTGGGGCTCTGTACGTTTTTATCTCGTTAATCTTGATCTGGAAATCGTTCAACGTTTTCAACGACGTTTCCTTCAACGATTCCATCAGCTGTTTCGATTCTCCGTTCTTTATAGTGCTGCACTCTTTGACGTACGCCAGCAGGGAGTCGAACTTGGAGTCCGCCAGTTTTTTTACCTCGGCGATGGAGTCTTCCAGTTTCTCTGCCGTCTGCTGTTCCTGTGTGAAGAGCTGGGACCAGGACGAGGCGCCGGACGATGTTTTCAGGAAGATCACCCCCGCGCCCACAAACAGCCCGACCACAGCGAGGAAGATCGCTACCCTCCGCGGGATACATGCAGGGCTGTACTCGTGGCTGTATTAAATAAAAGAAAAAAGTTTAGACACGTGTAAAGCTTACTAATGGAATATTACAATTATTATATGGTGTTTTAATTGTGAGATAATGTTTCTACAAAAAATTGTGAACACAAGTTTTTTTTTCATAATCCACCGCAAAGTTATTTTAGCACATTTAATTTGTGTTTATACTTGAAATTGTTAGGTCTTTATATTACAAGCGAGTTTTGGTTGAAATAAATATTGTTTAATACGTTTTACTAGACAATTGTAATTTTTGATAAATTTTGAAATGCTTTCCAAGAAGCAAGACATACTGATTTTATGTATTTTTGACGCATTTCAAATGGCAAATTTCGTTTAAACTTTACAAAATCTATTTTAAAATTCAATAGTATATTTAATTCGTATTACGAGATGAGTTCAAAGAATGCTATGTACAACAGCCAATGGGCACATTCAACAACATAGGAACGTTCCCGGGATCGGTCCGATGAACTCAGTTCACTGATGTCGTTAGCAAAAGCAAGTCAAAATAGAGGCTAGTTTTAAGGGGCAGATAATGCTCTCACTGAATTAATATATAGTGATTAGTTAGCAGGTTTCACTGCCAATATTTATAGTTTTGTAGAAGATTAATTTATTTATAAGCGCTTGGAATTACATTTTTTTACAAGAAATTGTTACGAAATTATACTATCAATTTACTTTTGCAATTTTTACATTTTCTAATATTCTTAAATGCGTAGAACAAAACGTTAAAACGCATATATATGTGTAAATATATTGAGAAACCTTTAAAATATAGTTTAGCAACAAATACTGTTTTCATTATAAATAAAGAGTACTAAAAACAGTTTTTTGTGTTCTTATTTTAGTGTCATATTCTTATGGTTTTTGCAAGCGACTTGTGTAGACAATATTAACGGGGAATATTTAAAAAAAACATTTTTTTCAACTCCAAGTCTCTTTTACGTCTTACACTAAGCAATCCTTCATTTGCAATTCAAATATCATTGCATTATTACAATAAGGATTCCTCAATACTAAATTCAAGTCTCATTTGCTTTTATAATTATACAGCAACCAACCCCCCCCCCCCCCCCACACACACACACAAAGATCAAAACAAGCCATTAAGTAGCCTACACAGCCCAGACTGTGAAAAAGGATTCACAGTTCATCGCGGACCATGCTTCACATAAAAACCTCGCTATGTAACACGACGCTTGGTTTCTTCCGTAGCTGTAATAAAATACATCAGTTCAATGTTATGCACAAAATCTGTCTTCGTATTTCTCAGTGTGAAATAATGTTAATAATCTTTCTTCCTATTTCTCGGTGTGAAATAATCTAACTAATCTTTCTTCCTATTTCTCGGTGTGAAATAATGTAAATTATATTTCTTCGTATTTCTCGGTGTGAAGTAATCTAAATAATCTTTCTTCGTATTTCGCGGTGTAAAATAATGTAAATAATCTTTCTTCGTATTTCTCGGTGTGAAATAATGTAAATAATCTTTCTTCGTATTTCTCGGTGTGAAATAATGTAAATAATCTGTCTTCGTATTTCTCGGTGTGAAATAATGTAAATAATCTTTCTTCGTATTTCTCGGTGTGAAATAATGTAAATAATCTTTCTTCGTATTTCTCGGTGTGAAATAATATAAATAATCTTTCTTCGTATTTCTCGGTGTGAAATAATGTAAATAATCTTTCTTCGTATTTCTCGGTGTGAAATAATGTAAATAATCTTTCTTCGTATTTCGCGGTGTGAAATAATGTAAATAATCTTTCTTCGTATTTCTCGGTGTGAAATAATGTAAATAATATTTCTTCGTTTTACTCGCTGTGAAATAATCTCATCAATTATTCTTCTATTGCTCGCTGTGAAATAATCTAAACAATCTTTCTTTTTCTGCTGTCTGTGAAACAGTCTAAACAATCTTTCTTCTATTGCTCGCTTTGAAATAATCTAAACAATCTTTCATTCTATTGCTCGGTGCGATGGTATCTCAGACAACTCAACCCTTAAGCCACATTGATTATTAAAATTCTTGAGCGTTAAATTTTAGAAGTGTTTAAAGATTTGTTTCAGATAGGCGCGCGTTGCATTATATATTACGTGAAGGAGAAGGACGACAGTTTATTATGTGTGCTGGGGGGGGGGGTCGGTTCGGCGTGTGTGATACAAGTTAAAGAGCGGGTTGTGTGGAGGAGGGGGTGGTAGTGTGGGGCAAGTGAAGCAACGGTATCGCTAATGTCCGGTCGACAATGTTTTTAGAACCGTTCGTGCTTTTGTTCAGACTGCGTGCCGATCGATTCAGTATTTTATGACAACAGAAAACTAAAGATTGATTAGAGTAAAAAAATGAGCTACTATCACAACTTACTGTAAACACTCTATTTTCAGTGGTCCTGTAGTTGATACGGTGATGGATGGGTAGGGGTAAAAATGTTAGAATTTTGTTTTTCATCAAACATACAGAATCTTTAATCATTACTCAAATTCTCAAATTAATTACACCAACACAACCAGGACTCTTTTTATCATTAACATTTTTATTTTCCCTTCACATCTGTGACGGGATTCACCAACTTTGTAAAAATGAACAGATATGATTTAGTCGTTATCCTGACTAACGGTTTTGTTGGAATTCGGTCGGATACCATTTCTTTTGAGTGACATTGACTAGAGTCTTATAATACATTCCACGTTCATTCATACACCGGCACGCCCACCAAATACATCACGATCTGTAAATTTATCAGTTGGTTCTTAGAGGTAGTGTAACCCGCTGAGGTCCGCACTACGCAGACCTCGTGTCAACAGGACTTAATATAAAATTCATTTCCATCAATAGTAACTTGAGTAATGTCAGTCAGTCTGAATAAACAGGCAAATAATTGTAGAAAAAAAATATTCAAGAACGCTGCCAGGGTACGTGAGAGGTTTTAAGGGATTGATAAAATCAACATTTGGGTCGATCAGCCGCGTGATTGATTAATCGATTGTTCAGCGGATTTAACAATGGTCAGCCTGTCCGTTGTTTACCTTTACTAAAAATATTTTAAGGTGTATAATAATAACTGCTTGTTGACTAGCGAATGTGGATGGATACAATGGTTGTCCGATGTTGTATATTGCTGGATAAGTTGAGTATGCGCTGCAGGTTGTAGATCAATGTAACACGTGTATGCTGCCGTCTATAACTAGATCAACAGGGCGTATGCCGTCTAGGATAGATTGCTTCAGTTTTGCTACTAGCATAGTGAAAAAGATTTGTATTGTCTCATTGTGACGCCTCCATGAGGGGAGGGGTGGGGGGATAAACATGTCATCTATCGTTGGCCGAGAAAAAATATCTTAACGTTTTCTCATCATAATTAACACCTGGTCTCGCACCACGTTCCAGATAATTAATTTTAATTTGTCGACAACATTCCCAGCCGTAATATGTGTGGAGGAAAGCCTTAATATTCCCAGCCGTAATATGTGTGGAGGGAAGCCTTAATATTCCCAGCCGTAATATGTGGCGTCCAGTTGTAACATTCCCAGCCGTAATATGTGGAGGAAAGCCTTAATATTCCCAGCCGTAATATGTGGCGTCCAGTTGTAACATTCCCAGCCGTAATATGTGGAGGAAAGCCTTAATATTCCCAGCCGTAATATGTGGAGTCAAGCCTAAATATTCCCAGCCGTAATATGTGGAGGAAAGCCTTAACATTCCCATCCGTAATATGTGGAGTCAAGCCTAAATATTCCCAGCCGTAATATGTGGAGGAAAGCCTTAATATTCCCAGCCGTTATATGTGGAGGCAAGCCTTAATATTCCCAGCCGTTATATGTGGAGGCAAGCCTTAATATTCCCAGCCGTAAAATGTGGAGGAAAGCCTTAATATTCCCAGCCGTAATATGTGGAGGCAAGCCTCAATATTACAAGCCGTAAAATGTGGAGGAAAGCCTTAATATTCCCAGCCGTAATATGTGGAGGAAAGCCTTCATATTCCCAGCCGTAATATGTGGAGGAAAGCCTTAACATTCCCATCCGTAATATGTGGAGTCAAGCCTTAATATTCCCAGCCGTAATATGTGGAGTCAAGCCTTAATATTCCCAGCCGTAATATGTGTGGAGGAAAGCCTTAATATTCCCAGCCGTAATATGTGTGGAGTCAAGCCTTAATATTCCCAGCCGTAATATGTGTGGAGTCAAGCCTTAATATTCCCATCCGTAATATGTGGAGTCAAGCCTTAATATTCCCAGCCGTAATATGTGGAGTCAAGCCTAAATATTCCCAGCCGTAATATGTGGAGGAAAGCCTTAACATTCCCATCCGTAATATGTGGAGTCAAGCCTAAATATTCCCAGCCGTAATATGTGTGGCGTCCAGCCGTAACATTCCCAGCCGTAATATGTGTGGCGTCCAGCCGTAACATTCCCAGCCGTAATATGTTCTGACAGGAAGCGAGCTATATAACATGACATTCTGTCTTCAGCAATGATATAACATTGTCACAACATTAGATTGTTTTATAAACATCATTTTCTCGTCTATGTGTGTTCTAAACGTATTTCCTAAAGTTAACCTGTATGTTTGTTATTTTGTTTTATACCATCAGCCTGCAAATGCGGCATAGCTGATGGCAGCTATAAAACAACTAGAAAGATAGAACATATGTTACATAACACGAAAAATGCAAAGCACAAAAAACACATAAACAAAAATACACAACACAAAAGTAATTACACAAAAATATGTATTACAAAAATACGTAACACAAAAATACATCACACAAAAATACGTAACACAAAAATACATCACACAAAATTACATAACAAAAAAATACATAACACAAAATTACATAACACAGAAATACATAACACAAAAATACGTAACACAAAAATACACAACACAAAAATACAGCACAAAAATACATAACATAAAAAGACAGCACAAAAATACATAACATAAAAAGACAGCACAAAAATACATAACACAAAAATACGTAACACAAAAATACATAACACAAAAATACATAACACAAAAATACATAACACAAAAATACATCACACAAAAAGACAGCACAAAAATACATAACACAAAAATACATAACACAAAAATACATAACACAAAAATACATAACAAAAAAATACATAACACAAAAAGACAGCACAAAAATACATAACACAAAGATACATAACACAAAAAGACAGCACAAAAATAAGTAACATAAGAGCTGGACGATCGGATCCATTCTGATTCCAAAATAAAGTTGTGTTATATGATCATAAGCTGCCATTTCTCACATTACATCTCAAATCTCATACGATCTAACCCACATTTTATCTAATAAGTAAGGCTCCTACCCCACCTCGGCTGTTATGAACGAAACATTTCTGGACTATAAAACTATTAAAAGTGTCAAATGGTCTTCGTACCACCACACAGTTTTAGAGAAAATCGATTCTTCGTTTTTAACTATAAATCAATAGTAAAGCCTTTGTAACAAAAACACTTGAAAAACAGTGGTATCGATACTGTTCAATCAACCATTCTAAACCCGGAGATTTCACAAAACTAAGAACAGAATAGCTAATGGCTATTATAATGCAAAGCTGTATATCACCACCTGCCCGTTCTACACTCTATAACAAAAGGACAACATCTTCGTGTTCAACTATAACAAAATAACAACATCCTTTGTGTTCCACTATAACAAAATAACAACATCCTTTGTGTTCCACTATAACAAAATGACAACATCCTACATGTTTCATTATAACAAAATAACAACATCCTTTGTGTTCTCTATAACAAAATGACAACCTTTGTGTTCCACTATAACAAAATGACATCCTTCGTGTCCCACTATAACAAAATGACAACATTCTTGTGTTATATGAAACGTGAATCAACCCCTGCCGTGTTTATGATTACCAGACTATAGCCTACACTACCCTACACGGCCTGGTGACATAATCAGAGACCTATAGATAGCATCTCTTCTAGCGTGAATTAATATTCCGTTAACAACACACACTGGAGCTTTTTTATTACTTAAAAATGCAACACCTTTGTCAATCGCTTTGAATGCACCTGAGACAGTTCTTATTTTAGCCCCCCCCCCCCCCCACTCCCACACAACTGTCTATGGCATGGGTCCTTAGATCAGCTACGAGTTTAGATCTGTCTTTGATAGGGTTTTTAGAAGGCTTGGTGGGCGCTTCGATTGTATAATAGGGTGGGGGTTAGCGCCCTTATTTGAAAGTTAACACTGTGTTAGCGCCCACATTTGAAAAAGCAGCACAATCACTGCCGAAACTTAAGATTACTGTCTTAGCAATATGAATGATGACTCTAAATTATTGATTAACTGTTTCCTTAATTACATGTTATTTCTGTATGTGTCAGTTATAATTACATTATGTTTACTTTTTTTAGTATTACCAAACATGTATGAGTTACCTGCATGAGCCAACTTCATCTCAATTACACACGGATATTTGGTATTCTCGAATCTGTTTCTACTATGCAGTAACTATCTATATTGTGTAACTTTCTTTGTAAGTCTCATTTGAAAGTTTCTGGTCAAATTTTTGAGTTACTCGTCTGTCTCCTTTGTAAGTCATAGATCACTGTTGGGTATGTCACATTTGTAAGTCGTCACATTGACATTGTTGGTTATGTCACATTTCTAAGTTAGTAGTCACATTGTTGGGTATGTCGTCATTAGTCAAATTGTTGGTTATGTCATATTTCTAAGTCAGTGATCACATTGATGGGTGTGTCACATTTGTAAGTCACTCGTCACATTGTTGGTTATGTCACATTTCTAAGTCATTGGTCACATTGTTGGGTATGTCTTCATTAGTCACATTGTTGGTTATGTCACATTTCTAAGTCACTCGTCACATTGTTGGGTATGTCACATTTTTAAGTCACTCGTCACATTGTTGGGTTATCCTACTGATCAGGTTGTAGGCTTATCCCCTACCTACACTTGTATCACCCCAAGTGCCCACTGAGCTATGGGGCAAAAATCAGGCAGACCCAGCATCCGACCTGCCATTTTGACCCAATTAGTTAATACTAATTACAAACGTACCTTTTCATGTTAGCGCTGATGGATGGGTAATGTCAATTGACACGACAGTTTATTAATCACCTGTAAGAAAAAAATGAAGTCAGTTCTTTTGTTATGTTTTGGTCACTCAGTTGCTTTGTGTTTAACTATGACCACATAGTATTTAACCGTTGTAAAACATGGCGGCCATGTGTTTAACTATTTCAGCCATGTGTTTAACTATTTCAGCCATGTGTTTAACTATTTCAGCCATGTGTTTAACTATTTCAGCCATGGCTTTAACTATTTCAGCCATGGCTTTAACTATTTCAGCCATGTGTTTAACTATTTCAGCCATGTGTTTAACTATTTCAGCCATGTGTTTAACTATTTCAGCCATGTGTTTAACTGTTTCAGCCATGTGTTTAACTATTTCAGTCATGTGTTTAACTATTTCAGCCATGTGTTTAACTATTTCAGCCATGTGTTTAACTATTTCAGCCATGTGTTTAACTATTTCAGCCATGTGTTTAACTATTTCAGCCATGTGTTTAACTATTTCAGCCATGTGTTTGACTATTTCAGCCATGTGTTTAACTATTTCAGCCATGTGTTTAACTATTTCAGCCATGTGTTTAACTATTTCAGCCATGTGTTTAACTATTTCAGACATGTGTTCTATTTCAGCCATGTGTTTAACTATTTCAGCCATGTGTTTAACTATTTTAGCCATGTGTTTAATTATTTCAGCCATGTGTTTAGCTATTTCAGCCATGTGTTTAACTATTTCAGCCATGTGTTTAACTATTTCAGCCATGGCTTTAACTATTTCAGCCATGTGTTTAGCTATTTCAGCCATGTGTTTAGCTATTTCAGCCATGTGTTTAACTATTTCAGCCATGTGTTTAACTATTTCAGCCATGTGTTTAGCTATTTCAGCCATGGCTTTAACTATTTCAGCCATGTGTTTAACTATTTCAGCCATGTGTTTAACTATTTCAGCCATGGCTTTAACTATTTCAGCCATGTGTTTAGCTATTTCATCCATGTGTTTAACTATTTCAGCCATGTGTTTAGCTATTTCATCCATGTGTTTAGCAGTTATCAAACATGCCGGCCCTGTGTTTAACACTTTAAGCTAGTTGCGAAGTTTTAAATCAATTGGTTTATATTTTAAATTTTATTTAATTTAAGTGCAAAAAAATATATTCATTAAAATATGTGCTTATTAAACTATTCGGTTTGCTTCATACATTTTCCTACATGTGTATTCTGTTTCATAGTTGTATGCTCATTATTGTCATTGTAAAAAGTAACATTATGTATGTTTTGTCGTCGTTTATCTTGTTAATACATGTGTGTCTTGATTTCCCATTCTCTGTGTGATACTGCCCTAAGTTCACTGGACAAACTAAACAAAACAACAACAGACGTTCATAAGATCATGGCACACTAATCTAGTCATAGCAAACAGGATAGGTCAGTTTCGCAGGAAAACATGTTTATAGTAGGAAGTAAAATAGGATCCTGACAACTTGTTTACATTTGTTTTCTTTTATACACACTATATAGACTGGGCCAATCAGCGCCCATCGCAGCATCACGTGAGAAACTAAAAATAAAACACTCGTGTTTTTATAGCGTACAATTTTTACTTTTATAGATAATGGAAATCTAGTTTATGTTTTTAAATTTAGTGCATATAAAAGATGATTGTACACGTTTTTAATAGAAGTTTTATTTTTCTACTAAATATTTATTGCAAAAAAATTAAGACTTAGGTCGATATCAAGTTTTATAAATCTATCGATGTATATCTTTAAGGGGTCGTCCAAAAATGACGTCACACTCGTAGGGGGAGGGGGTCCGTAATTTTGTGACGGTGTGTGATGAGGGGGAGGGTTCAGATGGTGTGACGTCACACTTTTGCATTTTATAAAAGCAATGTTAGAAAACGAGTTTTAGCCGTTATTTCGCGTTTTAGAAAACAGTTCTAATTAATTGTAATAGGAATTTATCAAAATACTTTACAAGATTTTGGAAAAATATCGATGTTTTAAGAAAAATTCAACAGCTATTTTGAGGGGGGTTGTAGGCTGAGGTGTGACGTCATTTTAGGGGGGGTCTGCTTTTGTGACGACGTGTGACGGAGGGGAGGGGGTAACAATCGTCAAAAAAAGCGTGACGTCATTTATTGATGACCCCTAATTGCAATGGAGAAAGTTTTTAAATCGACCACACCCTCATCTCCTAAACAGTTTAAGATTTAAATCTATGTCTGCTGTGACATTGATGGTCTGTTCAAATGCAAATTTGACATTGTGCGGATGATTTTAATCTTATCAACCAACAATTGCGCTTATTAAAACCATTCAATGCTTTAAAAATAGAAGATTTCGAATATGTTCTAACACTACAATATGAAATTTTATCCATCTAACTAAAACGGTGCGCAAGTTAATCGTGTTCACAGACAGACAGACGAACAAACAAGCAAACATGAGTGCAAAGTCTGCGTTTTTCGACCCCAGCAGTTGTAAAGCATAGAGATTAGTGTAAATCTCGAGTTCTAATTTTTTTGTACGATTAAAATAGTTCCCTAAATCTCCTAAACGAGAAAAAAAAACTTCAATATCCCACACTAAAGAGTCAAGTTAAATAGAAGCTTGCAAATACATTAGTAACATTAGACGGCCAAACCAGGCACTAAGTCCTTTTATGGGGTCACGTTGATGTGACATTAGGGTGGCCAAATAGGACGCTAGGCGCCATCAACGCCATCCTCATCGTCTGACTACCCTGGGCGTACCACCTCTGTACATGGCAGGCTTACTGCTCTATAATAGTGCAGGGATTTACCCGTACACTTAATCTGGTACATAAAGTAAACAATGGGGTGACGCGACATCATAATCTGGTACACGTGTCATCATGATCTGGTACACGTGTCATCATGATCTGGTACACGTGTCATCATGAGCTGGTACACGTGACATCATGATCTGGTACACGTGTCATCATGATCTGGTACACGTGTCATCATGATCTGGTACACGTGACATCATGATCTGGTACACGTGACATCATGATCTGGTACACGTGACATCATGATCTGGTACACGTGTCATCATGATCTGGTACATGAAGTAAACAATTGGGTCACGTGTCAACACGATTATCTATCTATATGTTACTAAAACTCGAGTTTGTATTTTTTTTTTGTCTGATTGGTTACATGAGAGCATCTACACTATGTGTAGAACGGTAAAATATGCATTAATGTAGAGAAGAATGTTGTTTTTCCCCAATCTGTTCATCATGTTACTCGTGCGGGAGTTGCCTGAATAAGCCAAGGGTAGGGAGTGGGGGGGGGGGCGCTGACTACGTGTAGGGTAAGAAGGGATTAATAAGCCTAGGGTAGGAGGGGGAGCTGACTAAGCCTAGTTTAGGGAGTAGGAGGAGGGTGTGCTTACGAGACAAGAGGCGTAGCGACAAGGGGGGATGTGGGGGGGAGGGTTCATATTATGCCCCCGGGCGCCGACCTTAGGGGCGCCAAAATCCAAAATGGATTGGAAAAACAAATTGAAAGTTTGAAGTGGGGTGCAAATCGAAAGTTTGTTTGACGGGGGTGGGGGTGGGGGTGCAAATTGAAGTTTGAGAGGGGGGGGGTGCAAATTGAAAGTTCGAGGGGGTGCAAATTGAAAGTTTGAGGGGGGGGGGGAGGTGCAAATTGAAAATTGAAAGGTTGTTCCCGGGAGGGGGGGGGGGGCGCCAAATTGAAAGTTTGTCCACGGGCTCTGGGAAGGGTCACTACGCCTCTGACTAGGCCGAAGGAAGGGAGAGAGAGCTGACTAAGCCTAGCCAAGGAGGGGCTGAATAAGCCTAGGGTGGTGCGACAATCGTCACAAATTTGCGCAATCTTCAAAAACAAAAATATGCATACACCTCTATAAATAAATAAATATTTTTGTCACAGAAATACGGTTTTGCCCCCGGCTACACAGTTTAATTTTGATTCCGCTACGGGTGGCTGGATGTTGTAAAGTGTAGGGCTGTAGAAGTTATAGCTGTACTGATAACTTTATATATAAGTGTCACACTATTCTCTTCATATGCCGAGGTCACAGAAACAAGTGAACTCTACTTCACTTGCCCCATAGACCGTCAGGTTTGAAAGGAAACTTTACTTACTACTTACTTATATATGAGTGTAAACATTTTGAATTACATGGGTTAGGAAAGGCTCCAATATCAATTCATTTATTCAAGGAATGCGACATACTTTTTACTTTTGTTTTATGAGAGGCTCAGTTGTTTTTTTATTGACGGGAGAAATTAAAGCAAGTTTAGACACCCCAGCAGTCAACTGATCCGGCACACTAGATCCACACGAGATTTGCAACATGCCAACATTGATCTTAAGAGAAGGGTGGGTTCGGGTGGGGGTCGGGTGACGTTTGTATTGTTAGTGGAATTTAAGAGCCACATAAAATTTGAGATCATGAGCGCCGAGTTGGGTTAAGGCCGGCTTTAAGAGGGTGTGACGTAGGAATAGGAACAGTTTGACAATAGGGGCACTATACAACAGGACAGTTGACAATAGGGGCACTATACAACAGGGACAGTTGACAATAGGGGCACTATACAACAGGGACAGTTGACAATAGGGGCACTATACAACAGGGACAGTTGACAATAGGGGCACTATACAACAGGACAGTTGACAATAGGGGCACTATACAACAGGGACAGTTGACAATAGGGGCACTATACAACAGGGACAGTTGACAATAGGGGCACTATACAACAGGACAGTTGACAATAGGGGCACTATACAACAGGGACAGTTGACAATAGGGGCACTATACAACAGGACAGTTGACAATAGGGGCACTATACAACAGGACAGTTGACAATAGGGGCACTATACAACAGGACAGTTGACAATAGGGGCACTATACAACAGGGACAGTTGACAATAGGGGCACTATACAACAGGGACAGTTGACAATAGGGGCACTATACAACAGGACAGTTGACAATAGGGGCACTATACAACAGGACAGTTGACAATAGGGGCACTATACAACAGGACAGTTGAC